GTTGACAAAGGTTACATGTGGCAGGGTTGACAAAGGTTACATGTGGCAGGGTTGACAAAGGTTACATGTGGCAGGGTTGACAAAGGTTACATGTGGCAGGGTTGACAAATGTTACATGTGGCAGGGTTGACAGAGGTTACATGTGGCAGGGTTGACAAAGGTTACATGTGGCAGGGTTGACAAAGGTTACATGTGGCAGGGTTGACAAAGGTTACATGTGGCAGGGTTGACAAAGGTTACATGTGGCAGGGTTGACAAAGGCTACATGTGGCAGGGTTGACAAAGGTTACATGTGGCAGGGTTGACAAAGGCTACATGTGGCAGGGTTGACAAAGGCTACATGTGGCAGGGTTGACAAAGGCTACATGTGGCAGGGTTGACAAAGGCTACATGTGGCAGGGTTGACAAAGGCTACATGTGGCAGGGTTGACAAAGGCTACATGTGGCAGGGTTGACAAAGGCTACATGTGGCAGGGTTGACAAAGGTTACATGTGGCAGGGTTGACAAAGGTTACATGTGGCAGGGTTGACAAAGGTTACATGTGGCAGGGTTGACAAAGGTTACATGTGGCAGGGTTGACAAAGGCTACATGTGGCAGGGTTGACAAAGGTTACATGTGGCAGGGTTGACAAAGGCTACATGTGGCAGGGTTGACAAAGGTTACATGTGGCAGGGTTGACAAAGGTTACATGTGGCAGGGTTGACAAAGGTTACATGTGGCAGGGTTGACAAAGGTTACATGTGGCAGGGTTGACAAAGGTTACATGTGGCAGGGTTGACAAAGGCTACATGTGGCAGGGTTGACAAAGGCTACATGTGGCAGGGTTGACAAAGGTTACATGTGGCAGGGTTGACAAAGGTTACATGTGGCAGGGTTGACAAAGGTTACATGTGGCAGGGTTGACAAAGGTTACATGTGGCAGGGTTGACAAAGGCTACATGTGGCAGGGTTGACAAAGGTTACATGTGGCAGGTTGACAAAGGCTACATGTGGCAGGGTTGACAAAGGCTACATGTGGCAGGGTTGACAAAGGTTACATGTGGCAGGGTTGACAAAGGTTACATGTGGCAGGGTTGACAAAGGTTACATGTGGCAGGGTTGACAAAGGTTACATGTGGCAGGGTTGACAAAGGTTACATGTGGCAGGGTTGACAAAGGTTACATGTGGCAGGGTTGACAAAGGCTACATGTGGCAGGGTTGACAAAGGCTACATGTGGCAGGGTTGACAAAGGTTACATGTGGCAGGGTTGACAAAGGTTACATGTGGCAGGGTTGACAAAGGCTACATGTGGCAGGGTTGACAAAGGTTACATGTTCTATCTTGTATAAACTGGTATTAAAACACTGTCAACATTTATGGCCAGGATGTTGATATTTATCTTCTTATATAACAATTCTCGTGTGTATACATCTTAGATTAGGTTTTAGGGTTATTTTAGGTTAAGATATGTCTAGTGTTAAGTTTACTGCCGAGTTAAGGTGACACAAAAGCTTCTCAAACCCATCAAAGTTAACGTTTAGTATTATGACCATTAACTAGTCACACTTCTTCAAGGTCTAGTATTGTGTGGGTATGTTAGAGTGTGGTTAGTACCAGTGGTAAACTACGGTACTTTTACTGTTCCCTACTCTGAGGCAAGCCACTTTCTAAACCTGTCTCTTTGTCAAACATTGTGGCTGGACGAATTCTGTTGTTCTAGTGGGTGAGAACTTTGCAATTCACCAGACTTTTCTCGCCCATCTTCCTCATCAACTGATGGTACTCATTATTATCTTCCCTTGCTCTATTAATCTTCCTTAGTTCCAAGTTTCTTCAACTTTTGGTCTGCAAGACACAAATCCTCCTGTCTTTTTTCCTCAGTGCCCCTGGGTAGTGTTAATACAGTTTCTTCTCAAGTTGGTATTCAATTCAGAAAAACAGTTACAAGCCAGCCTCCCTAACCCACTCCCTACTTAATGTGACATATCTTTCCCACATATCTTTCTGACTATAGTGATCTCCCTCCACTCCTTGGTACTAGGTTCTATCTGCTGACTTACAGAGCCTTGGCCACGGACACCTGGACACATCACTGATCTCCTTGAGCGTAAGGTCTCAAACCAGGGGCAGCTCCAGAATATCTATGTAGGAGGGGCTTAGGGAAGGTAATCTAGTGGGAAGGTTCTGACATGGCTACTCCCAGGTCACTTACATTCCTCTTCCATGACTTTCCAAGTCAGATTCACTGAGTCTTCAAGAAGAACTTGACAGGTCCCTCCAGACAGTTCTGATAATTCAGACTACTTACATTAGACTGTGTGCACTGCTAGCAAAAACTAATTCCACTGATGAGACCAGGAGCCAAAAGATCTAACCTGGAACTGGGCCACAAAGGGCTACCAGGAATGTTAACAGGTTGTCAGCAGGTTCAGGAATAACATCACAGAAAAAACGTAAGTATCATTTACTCTTACTGTTGTGGTTTACACTAAACTACCAGTGACATTCCTGGGACCAGTCTAAGGCCAGATTTCCTTGTTGACTGCCTGATAAACAAAGCTGTTGCTGCTAGTAGCATGCAGACCTATGAAGTATACTATTTCCCAGGTGCTGTCTGATCCTCAGATTTAGTGACGCTGGGCCTTTCCCATGTTTTTTAAATACCGGCCATCTCCCACTGAGGTATGGTGACAAAAAAAAAAGAGGAAATACTTTCACCATCATTCATTCGATGTCTTGCTAGAAGCATACCAACATCACAATTCAGAATGGCCCTCTGACCTAAAACATCCTCACTCTTCCTTCAGAGTACAGGCACTGCACTTCGCACCTCCAGGACGCAAGTTCATTTAGCCGATTTTCCATGAATCCTTTCATAAATGTTACCTTGCTCACACTCCAACATCCTTCTTCTTTCTACAAACTGGCCATATCCCACTGAGGCAGGGTGGCCCAAAAAGAAAAACAAAAGTTTCTCTTCTTAACTTTAGAAATGTATACAGAAGGGGTTACTAGTCCCTTGCTCCTGGCATTTTAGTCGCCTCTTACGACACACATGGCTTACAGAGGAAGAATTTTGTTCCACTTCTCCATGGAAAACACTCCAACATGTCAAGTCATAAAAACCACTTGCCTCCACACACTCCAGTCTAATGTACTCACAAGCTTGTTGGATGTTAAAGCTGTTAGCATTCAAAACCTTCTATATCTCAACTTTTTCCAACTCTTTCTGGAGTTATCCCTACCCCTTCTTCCTTCCACCCAAGAATTGTATACCCTCTTAGTCATCTTATTATGTGCTCCATCCTCTATAAATGCCCAAACTACATCAACAACCCTTTCTCAGTCTTATAATTCAGATAATCTTAAATATGAGGGATTGGGAGCTGTGATAATTAAGGCACAAACAATGGAAGACAACAAAGTCCCCAGTTTAAGATACTCACTGAGATCTTTAATACATCTTCCTATGCAAATACAGTGGACCCCCGGCTTACGATATTATTTCATTCCAGAAGCATGTTCAGGTGCCATTACTGAACGAATTTGTTCCCATAAGGAATATTGTGAATTAGATTAGTCCATTTCAGACTCCCAAACATACACGTACAAACGCACTTACATAAATACACTTACATAACTGGTCGCATTGGGAGCTGATCGTAAAGCGGGGGTCCACTGTATTGGAATTTTACTGTGCCTAAAGTCCCATGGTAAAAGTATTGCAATGATACAATGTAAATCTGGGTGGCTCCCCATTTTCTGTATAATGAATAAAAGGCAAAAATAAGAAAACAGATGAGGGTAGTGAGGAAGTGGAATGTATTAGGGAATTTAGCAGACTAGAGTTAACACTAAGAATTGAGATGGAAGCACAAAGTCAACTGGGATGGAAGGCATCATACCAGTTGATTGTTAATGTTTGAGGCCCAAGAGCTGGAACTTCATCACATCAATACGAGAATGAGTATATGCAATGACTCAAATATGGTGCCTACAAATGCTTCTCATAATTAACACCAATTTACTACCTTACCTTTGCTGGAACAATACACAACAAACAATAAAATGGAAAAAAACTTCACACTGTGTTTCAGTCTGTCCTTGACAATTATTTATTTATATACATATTCTTTCGACAAACTGGCCAAATCCCACCAAGACAGGGAGGCGTCCCCCCAAAAAAAAGTTTTTCTTTTTAAATTTAGTAATATATATAGGAGAAGGGGTTACTAGCCCCTGGCTTCCGGCATTTTAGTTGCCTCTTGCGACACGTGGAACTAAGAATTCTGTTCTACTTCCCCATGGAGATAAGAGGAAATAAACAAGAACAGGAACTAGTAAGAAAATAGAATAAAACCCAGAGGGGTGTGTAAATATATGCTTGTACATGCATGTGTAGTGTGACCTAAGTGTAAGTAGAAGTAGCAAGATGTACCTGAAACCTTGGATGTTTATGAGACAGAAAAAGATATCAGCAATCCTACCATCATGTAAAACAATTACAGGCTTCTGTTTCACACTCACTTGGCAGGATGGTAGTACCTGCCTGGGTGGTTGCTGTCTACCAACCTACTACCTAGGAGACGAATGGTTTTTGAAACCTGACGAGCTGTTGGAGTGTGAGCAGGGTAATATTTTGTGAAGGGATTCTGGGAAACCGGCTAGCTGGACTTGAGTCCTGGAGGTGGGCAGTACAATGCCTGCACTCTAAAAAAAGGGGTTTGGGATATTTGCTGTTTGGAGGGGCATTTGAACTGTTGTATCTGTGCACCTCTGGCAAGGCAGTGATAGTGTGAATGATAGTGAAAGTGTTTCTTTTGTTGGTCACCCTGCCTTGGTAGGAGATGGTAGCATGTTAAAAAAAAAATTACAGTACTTATCTTCAGCTAAAAACAGAACAATGTAGAGAATGAATGTAACATGATACAAACCTGCAAATGCACAAGTACTTAACAAGTGAGTAGGCTGCACCAATTTACTATACAGACTAGACAAGTTATTCCTCAATCCTCACCTGTTGTTTTCGAAGTTCACTGTGTCTGAGATCCTCGAGGGAGCAGCGTGTAGGAGTCCTGCCACCATCCCTGCTTAATGCAACACCTGCCACAACCATACCAGGTGTCCAGGACCCTGTCATTGAGAATGACCCCACACCTGAGCCACCTGACGGTGTCCGTCGGTGGCTCGACTGACGTGATGTGGGTGGTAGTGTAGATGTTTTTGTGACTGGCAGATTGACTGACTGGATTGTTATTGGTGAGGTGGCAGTAGTTGTTGGTGTTGCTTGAGCAGAAGTCGATAATGTGGATGACAGAGGAACTGATGGCGGAGACGAAACTTTGTTTGGAAGAGTGACTGGTGTGTGTGGAGCATGATTCACTGGAGGAGATACTGCATCATTGCTGCTGATAGAGCTGGGAGGAGGTGGTAGAGACCGATACATAATGTTGTGGACGGAGGTCATCCCAGAGGGTGAGACCACAGTGGACACACCTCCAGTTACTCCTGTAAAGTCTGTACTGGAGACTATCAAGCTGCCAGGACTCCAGCGAGAAGTGACAGGCACACGAGGAGCCAATGGTGGTGGAGCCTGCAAACAGTCAAACATGGTAACTGTAAAACACAATGACAGTCTTTAGAGGTAAACACTCATCATTATATGTAAATCAGATATTAGATGTGCCAAAATTTATTAAATGTAAAAGAAAAACTTTCATTTTAGGTCATCCAGCCTCAGTGAGAGATGACCGTTGCGTTAAAAAAATACAGAACATCACTGTATTGAATTTTTTTAACCTGTAAACGGTCCAAACGTATATATACGTTTTTTCAACATTTGAAAGTATGTAAAAAAAGTAGATCTTCTTTTTGTTTTTCTACATTTGAAAATGTGTAAAAAAACTTTGATCTACTTTTTTTTTTGTTATATTTGAAAATATGTAAAAAACTTAGATCTACTTTTGAAGCACTACACGTGAACGTAGATCTGCTTGGACCGTTTACGAGTTAAGAAACCTTAAACATTTATATGTTATTGCTGTACTGGTGCTTCTTAGGTGTGTCTATTGTGTCTGAATGATTGATCATTGATTTGAAACCAAGGAAATATGATAGAGCTGATGTAATATCTTTTTCCTATTCAAAGAAAACAGGATGACATTATAAGGAGCATTGTATATATATTTCTTCCAATCATTAACCAGTTCCCACCAAAACAGTGACCCAAAGTTGGAAACTCATTCACCTTCACAAACTCTCTAGCTAATTTTTACACTATTCATCTTCAGGAGGCAAGAAGTATCATATATTTTTAACACACTGGTCGTCTCCCACCAAAGTAGGATATTATACCTCAGCTAATTTCATAGCCCAATGGGATCCAACAATGATACACTGAATTACACAATAGTCTCCCCACCTCCAAAGTGCAGACACATTTCTTCCTAACTTCAAAAACTCTTCAGTCTGGCTAGCCAGTTTTCCCTTAATCACTTTATATGATTACTTTGCTTATACACCTACCATCCGACTTACGGCCAACTCGATATATGACCATTTGACTTATGACCGTGTTTTGTATGCCAAATTTCTGGGAAATAAACAAGTGTTTGTGCTGTACACAGTGTTTATACTAAACCTTACAGTATAAAATACAGTACTAACAGCATAAAAAGTAAAGTAAACATGAAATACCAAAATAAAACAATAAAATAAAGTCATTACAAAAATGTGATATTGATATTCAGTAGTAAAGTTCGACTTACGTCCATTTCGACCTACGACCAGTTGGTCGGAACCAAACTTGGTCGTAAGTTGGATGGTACCTGTATTTCTATAACATGTCGAATTCCCTGGACTACTTCCTTCACCCATTTCAATTTAACATGCTTGAAAATGCCTGATGAATATTTATTTTACTACACGAACCAAATCCCCACCAGAGTGAGGTGACCCAAAGAAGGAAACACAATCACCATCATTCATTCAACAGCTGTTATATCCACTATTGAATGATCATCTTTCCCCTGGCCTGGGCTCAGTGTTCAAGCTCCTTCATCCTAACTCTGTACTGCATTTCCTTTCCTCTTCCTCAAATCCCCTCTACACCTTCCATCCATTACAATCTTGTTCATTTCTCTTAACATTAACACACCATCTACAACCTTGTCCAAGTTCTTTCCCCTCATCTATTCTGTAATTTACCTGCATGTGCTGGTTGTTAGGCTGCATGTACAGTGGTACCTCGGGATACAAACAGCTCAAAACTTGAACAATTATGTAAGTGTATTTATGTAAGTGCTTTTGTAAGTGTATTTTTGGGGGTCTAATTTACATTATTCCTTATGGGAACAAATTCGTTCGGTATCAGCACTCAAACAGCCTTCTGGAATGAATTAAGTTCGTATCCCAAGGTACCACTGTATCTGGAAATCCATCACTGTGGTTCCTTGTCTCACTAATTTTACATCATTTCAGACTCCTCCTTTAGAAGCCCTGACATGCTCACTATATCCACATTTCTCTCTGGTAGTCCCAACTTTGCCGTATTCTTGGCTCTATTAACTGACACTGATCTGCAACATCAACTGTGACCATCTCATCCTCTCAGCTGATATATATATTTCCATCATCACATCTTCCTCTTATTCCCCCACCATCTTTTTAACCCTGAGCGTGAGGAATTAAATGAACCTGAGTGGATTTATCACATTCCATGAACATTAACCCGTAAACGGTCCAAGCAGATCTACGTTCACATGTGTAGTGCTACAAAAGTACATCTACGTTTTTTTACACATTTTCAAATATAACAATAAAATAAAAGTAGATCAAAGTTTTTTTACATATTTTCAAATATAACAAAAAAATAAAAGTAGATCAAAGTTTTTTTACACATTTTCAAATGTAAAAAAACAAAAAGATCTACTTTTTTTACATACTTTTAAATGTTGAAAAAACGTATATATACGTTTGGACCGTTTACGGGTTAATGGTAGGTGAGTACAGGTATATAGTGTGTGTCTCGCTCTTAGCAGGTGGAGGACTAAGCCTCCACTTCTCTTTGCATTAATTCACCTGCATGACTTCACTGATTCACAAAACTGCAATAAAAATCTATGCAATATTATATGTAAAATTCTGTCTTCATATTTCTCATTCACAATATTCTTTCCAAGGTCTCATCTATAATAAAATTAAAATACAGTAAAGAGAGTAAAGCAATAATATAATGTATATTAGTGGTATTCAATACCAACAAAGTGTCTAATTTATTGTCAAAATTATAATGTACACATTCCTCACTTTACTGTGCTTCGACTTACAATATGTCAACTTTACGATGTTGCAATATCTTAACATTTTGAAATATACATTTATTGATAGAATCAACTTTTATATTTTAATAACATATTGGCAGTTTCCCACTGAGGCAGGGTAACCCGAAAAAAGAAGAAACACTTTCATCATCATTCACTCCATCACTGTCTTGTCCGAGGTGCGCCTACAATTAAAAAACTGCAATATTAATACCCCTCCTTCAGAGTACAGGCACTGTACTTCCCACCTCCAGGACTCAAGTCAGGTTAACCGATTTCCCTGAATCCCTTCATAAATGTTACTTTGCTCAAACTCCAACAGCACATCAAGTCATAAAAACCATTTGTCTCCACTTGCTCAAGCATGCTTGCTGGAAGTCCAAGCCCCTCGCACACAAAACCTCCTTCACTCCCTCCCTCCAATCTTTCCTAGTTAGAGTAATTATTTATTTACTCATTTATCACATCATATTAAACTCATGATATTTTCAACTAACGATGTGTTCATCAGAATGTAACCTCACTGTAAGTCAAGGAGCAACTGGCAATCAATGCAAACAGTGTCTAAATCAATCATCAAAATTAAAATAAAAGTTCATGATAACAACTGAAGTCATGCAAGGGACTTCATGCAGACTTTGTTTCAGCACTCACCATGTCATTCTTGGTGTAGATATACTCGCCAAAATAGCGAGGTATGGTCCTTCCAGCAGTTCCATTAGGTGAGGGCGAGGAAGAGAAGGGCCGCATTGAAGCCTCAGAGCGGGGAGGAACCTGCCGAGATAACATCATGCTTATGAAATATATACATGTATATATATTTTTTGTTTTGACACATTGGCTGTTTCCCACCGAGGTACGGCAACCCGTAAAAGAAGAAACACTTTCATCATTCCTCATTCCATTACTGTCTTGCCAGAGATGTGCCAATACTACAGTTTAAAAACTTCAACATATCTCCAACAGCTAGCCTCTCACCAAATGCAAGAAGCACTTACATTTAATATTGAAAATTTTCACTAATGCACATTGCTGATATATATATGCTGCATTAATTGTGTGTGGTTATTTGTTGATATTATTGAGTTTATGTAACTTACTCTAACCTAACATGACATAAAATGTTAAATTTTCTGTCAACAGAGAACGTTCAGAAACTGATGATGGGTAATGAGTATAACACAGTATAAAATGAAAACAGTTTTATACAGCGAGCTTTTTATGATTTCACAAGTATATACGAGTGAAACCACAAATTTACACGATATGGTTATACAGTGTATTTACTGAGTGTTATCTCAGGAATCTGATCATTCATGGCTGTTTTGGCAATGATTGTTTTTCACACTTTAAGCACGACAATGAAATCTTGAAGATTAAAGGTCACAATACCACAACTGGAATAATTCACAAATAACCTACATCTTGAAAGGAAACTTAGATGATGTTTTAGTCCCTCTGAAAGAAAAAAATCATAGGACCTGAAGAGGGAGAGGGAGAAGGTAGATCTAGTGAAAGCAGCAGTAACACTCACAGAAATGCTTCTATTACAGTACTACCACAACTATTATTACTGTTACTAATATGATGGGATTCACACACACCCAAGAGTGTGTGTGTATTGCTCTCTCTGGATATTTCCTCACTGGGTCACCTAACGGACAAGACCCAGGCCAGGACCACCCCAGTGAATCACACTCACACTCTGGACATTCCCTCGCTGGGTCACCTAATGGACAAGACCCAGACCAGGACCACTCCGGTGAATCACACTCACTCTCTGGACATTCCCTTGCTGGGTCACCTAACAGACAAGACCCAGGCCAGGACCACTCCGGTGAATCACACTCACTCTCTGGACATTCCCTTGCTGGGTCACCTAACAGACAAGACCCAGGCCAGGACCACTCCGGTGAATCACACACACTCTGGACATTCCCTTGCTGGGTCACCTAACAGACAAGACCCAGGCCAGGACCACTCCGGTGAATCACACTCACTCTCTGGACATTCCCTTGCTGGGTCACCTAACAGACAAGACCCAGGCCAGGACCACTCCGGTGAATCACACACACTCTGGACATTCCCTTGCTGGGTCACCTAACAGACAAGACCCAGACCAGGACCACTCCGGTGAATCACACACACTCTGGACATTCCCTTGCTGGGTCACCTAACAGACAAGACCCAGGCCAGGACCACCCCAGTGAATCACACTCACTCTGGACATTCTTTGTTATGAATGTCGAAATTAGCCAAATTATAACAATATTTTAAAAAAGAAGATCTTGGAAGAACAAATTTAGTCCTAATCTGAAAGGAAAATGATTGTACAAACAACAGTGACATTCACACATTTTTATTCACGAGGACATCTAAGAAACTAACACTCACAACATTTGGGGTTACATGGTAGAGCATAGCACTAACTTAGTTAAATGCTGAGTAATAATGCAATGAGATGGATGAGGAACAAGGAATACAGATAATATAAGAATGGAGGAACACTGCAGCAGGTCTACTGGCCCATACAGGTGGGTGTAAATAGGAAAATGAAGTGTCAATATATGTATGAACTGGGGAATGAAATACTTATCAATATCAAGATCAAAGAATGGGAGACTATTTGGGGAAAAAAAATAGAGGTCCCAATTAACAAATAGATGCATTCAGGGTTCTTAACCTACAAATGTTTATATGGAAAACAATAGTACAAAAGATGGCTATGATTCAGAAGCCTGAGTCTTTTTCATTGGGATCCTTTGGACCTGTGCTAGAATGACTCATAAAAATCAACTAACAATGAAGTTGAATATCTATTTTTGGGCTGGGGAACATGGGTAGTAAATGTTAAGAGACTTGCTGGGTTGTAAAATGAACTACAGTGGACCCCCGGTTTACGATATTATTTCATTCCAGAAGTATGTTCAGGTGCCATTACTGAATGAATTTGTTCCCATAAGGAATATTGTGAAGTAGATTAGTCCATTTCAGACCCCCAAACATACACATACAAACGCACTTACATAATTGGTCGCATTGGGAGCTGATCGTAAACCGGGGATCCACTGTATTTACAAAAGAGCAAAAAAAAAAAAAAAAAAAAAAAAAAAAAAAAAAAAAAAAAAAAAAAAAAAAAAAAAAAACTCCAAATGAAAAGCCAATAAAGTGCTCTTACTTCAGGAGGTGTATCAGAGTCACTATCACTGTTGTTATTGCAAGAAAACCCAGAGCTGTCGGTGACACCCCATCGTGGACTCTCTAACATCTGTGGAGACTCCTGATGGTGTGACACATCAAACCTTGACACCTGAAGAAAAAATTCATGGCTGCTATACATTCCATAATGAGCATCAAATATTGTACCTATCTAACACTTTTTAACCTGTATGTGACACTTATGCATCATCATCATCATCTTTCAACAAACTGGTCATATCCCACCCAGGCAGGGTGGCCCAAAAAGAAAAACAAAAGTTTATCTTTTTAACTTTAATAATGCATACAGGAGAAGGGGTTACTAGCCCCTTGCTCCCTGCATTTTAGTCGCCTCTTATGACACGCATGGCTTATGGAGGAAGAATTCTGTTCCACTTCCCCATGTTGGCTGTCTCCCAGTGAGACAGGGTGACCTAAAAAGAAACACTTTCACCATCATTCACACATAATCACTGTCTTTGCAGAGGTGCCCAGAGATGACAGTTTAGATTTCACTCCAAACAGCCAATATCCCAAAACCCCTCCTTTAAGTGCAGGCACTGTACTTCCCACCTCCAAGACTCAAGTCCAGCAAACCGGTTTCCCTGAATCCCTTCACAAAATATTACCCAGCTTACACTCCAACAGCTCGTCAGGTCCCAAAAACCATTCGTCTCTATTTGCGCCTATCTAACCTGGCTGTTTCAGTGCCAGGCTGTTTCAATGCCAGACTATTCAGTACCAAGACCTTACAGCGCCACCAGAGTTTCAAGACTCACATCAATAAAATATGGAACGTAAGTATTGATTTACCTAATAAGGTTAGGTTAGGATGTGACTGAAACAGAATGAACTGATGCTGAATAGCATGGAGCCTAAACAGCCTGGCGCTGAAATGGAGGCACTGAAATGGCAGCAATGAACTGTACCCTACCCACAGGGAAATGGCAGGAGCCATAGCCATGAAATGCATTAGCCATGAAGGCCCAAGCCGAGTAGGAAGGAGAAAAATTCTATGGCGTGTTGTACTTCAATATAGCAGATGACTTAATGTTGTGATAATCTACCAAGTGTACAGAAGTACCAAGGTTTTGCATATTAGCTAAAACTTGGTTATGTAACACTCAGTTTTCCAACAGTTCCTAATTTTTTGGGCTGCATTTTTTAAAAAATTAGGTCATATGAGGTCGTGTTATGTGAGTTTTCAATAATATAAGACAAATTTTATCAAGCTATTATATTTTGTTAGACAGGTAGAGTACATAACTGGAAGCCAATATTTGTTCCTTAACAAGAGTACTTAATTCTCTCACCTTATCCACATACTCCTGAGTGTCAGAGTGACCAGCTGGGAGATGTAATGGTGCAGGTGGTACTTTGCGGGGGGGCACAGGTGGCTTGGTCTCCTCTGAGGTTGTCTCCTCACCGCCGGCATCAGTGGTGGCGACACAAGTTTCCCGTGACATGTGGAAGTATTCTGGATTGTCCACAGCTGATGACAAAATTAACACTGTCACTACACTGTTTATGTATCCCATTGTCATGATCTGGAGTGTATAACTCAAGTCATAACTCTCACTTTATACAGGGCATACAGATATACATGTATATTATAAAATACGTAACACATAAACATAAACCTACAATAGAATACTCTCATAGTTCTCAACAATACAAAGCAAAGAATGTTAAATGTTATCATTTAATCCTAGAATAAATGGCTATCACTACCGCTCGTTAAGTTTACCACAACTTAAAAATCATAGTAATTAAGTAAACATTAGGTCTCCAGATGTAGGAAAACTGAAAACCATTTTCAAAATGTTTATAACTGGCATAAAATTAGATTATATTTATTTCATATATTGTGAAAAGCCTCTGGTTAGCCAGAGCATTTCTGGTAGACTAAAAATAAATTTAAAATTTGAAATATCATAATACAGTGGACCCCCGCTTTACGATCACCTCCCAATGCGACCAATTATGTAAGTGTATTTATGTAAGTGCGTTTGTACGTGTATGTTTGGGGGTCTGAAATGGACTAATCTAATTCACAATATTCATTATGGGAACAAATTCGTTCAGTACTGGCACCTGAACATACGTCTGGAATGAAATAATATCGTAAACCGGGGGTCCACTGTATTCAAATTCAAATTCAAATTCAAAGCTTATTCTCTATAAGGATTACAATGCTGAGTTTACAGAATTTGGTTATTGTGTGGTTTACATGTAGTAAAATAATAATTACAGAGTGTACCACTAGAACACCTAGCATGGCTAGGCATTTCGGGCAGATTTAAATTAAATCTTAAGTTTAAAATATTACAAAATTATGAGGTAAGTTGGTATTATGGCTAAGTGACTAAATACTAGTTTGTGAGTTTAGCAATGTGAATGCTTTTGTTTTGGCACTATACATAGTTTCAGTATTAGAGTATCATAGGCCAACTTATGACTAGTTAAGATTCATTATTTTGAGATTGAGATTGATATTTCTGTTTATGGTCAAATGGGTGAGTGAGTGTAAGTGTTAACCACCAGGTGGTATTCATGTAATTAGTTGACAGGGTGTATCAGGGAGATAAGATGTTTTCTGATGGTAGTTTTGAAGGTGATGAATGTGTCTGCAGTTTTAGAATTTTCAGGTAGGGTGTTTCAGATTTTAGGGCCTTTGACATACATTGAATTTTTGTAAAGGTTTAGTCTGACACGGGGAATGTCAGAGATGTTTGTGTCTGGTGTTGTGCCTGTGGGTTCTGTCGCAACTATCAAGAAAGCGTTTTAGGTCAAGGTTAATATTGGAATTTAAGGTCCTGTAGATGTAGATTGCACAGTAGTAAGTGTGGATGTACTGAACAGGGAGTAAGTTTAGATCTATGAAGAGTGGGGGGGGGGGTGTTGCCAGGGATGGGATTTAGTGATTATTCTTACTGCGGTTTTTTGTTGGGTTATTATTGGCTTTAGGTGTGTTGCTGCAGTTGAATCCCAAGCACAGATAGCATAGGTGAGGTATGGATATATAAATGAATGGTATAGTGTGAGAAGGGCAGTTTGCGGCACGTAGTATCGTATCTTGGAGAGGATCCCAACCGTTTTGGATACTTTTTGGTTATGTGCTGGATATGGGTGCTGAAGTTCAGGTTGTTGTCGAGGTACAGGCCTAGGAATTTGCCCTCATTATGCCTGGCAATTAGAGTGTTGTCGATCTTAATGTTAATTTGCGCATCTCCTGCTCTGCTACCAAACAATGTACAGTAGTAGGTTTTGTCAGTGTTAAGCGTAAGTTTATTGGCTGTCATCCAAGTCGATATTTTGATCAGCTCCTCATTAACAATGGTGTTGAGGGTGGCAAGATTAGGGTGAGAGATGACATAAGTCGTGTCATCAGCAAAGAGAATGGGGTTCAGGTGTTGAGATACGTTTGGAAGATCATTGATGTATATGAGGAAGAGCAGAGGACCAAGGACACTTCCCTGCGGAACTCCAGTATCAAGTGGCTGTGTTGTTGATGCTGTGTCTTTAATGGTGACATACTGATACCTATTAGTAAGGTAAGATTTGAAATATGCAAGCGCATGGCCTCTTATACCATAATGGTCAAGTTTGTGGAGTAGGATGCCGTGGTCTACTGTGTCAAAAGCTTTTCTTAGGTCAATAAAAATTCCTAGTGGAATACCATGAATACCATTATTAATATACTGTACAGACATGTGCTACTTATACAGCAGAATATAGCCCTGGGCTACTATAGGGCCCATCTTATATAGCAGGTTAGGTTCTGGGTTACGGCTGTAAAGTGAAACGCACTTTTTTATTTTCACTCTCAAATGCATATAAAAGCCTAATACAGTACCATGTTTACACAATCATATATTAAGTGAGCAATAATGCTAGGCCTTAAAAATACATATAGTACAGTACACATATTACTTATCTTAAAATAGTTTTGGCCTTAGCTTATATTGAGTGGTGAATAGTATATTTATAACAGAAGTCTGAATAAATGAAGAATATGTATAACTGAAAACTGCTGCATTAGCAAACTGCTGCATTAGCAAACTGCTGCATTAGCAAAATGCTGTAAAGTGGGGCCTGCCTGCACCAATAACACTGACTGAAGATAAGATTATTGTAGCTAATGATAATTTTAAGTAACAAAACTCAATACGTATATTAACCCTTAAACGGTCCAAACAGATTGACGTTCAAATACGTAGTGCTCCAAACGTAGATCTACGTTTTTTTACATATTTTCGAATATAACAAAAAAACAAATGTAGATAAAAGTTTTTTTTACACATTTTCAAATGAAAAAAAAAAAGATGATCTACATTTTTTTACATACGTACTTTCAAATGTTGAAAAAACGTATATATACGTTTGGACCATTTAAGGGTTAAAACAACACGGTTAGTATACACGTAAATTGAAAATACAGCATCTCCTCACTTAGCAATGTACTCGTTTACCAACGCCTCGGACTTACGATGGGCTCTCTGACCAGCATTCATACCTAAATAATGTACTATATTAGAGCTGATTTCCTCTATTCTGTTTATTTCAATACATGTATACAGTACACTACTGTATAAACATTTAAAAATATACCAGAAATGTTATAAATGAAGCAAACTTGACATTAAAACAATATCAAAGATAGGTGACACAAACCCACTACCATAATAGTATGCTCCTCATTTAGACACGCATTCGTTTACCAATGTGGTCTTAGGAACAGAACTCCATCGTTAAGCGAGAAGAGGCCGTAATAATATGTAATATAAAACAACAAGCTTAGTATGAAGTCATAATAATACAAAACCATAGTTATGATTTTATTTAGTGGTATATTAATTATTGGGAGTAGAAATATAGTGGTGTCAGTAAGTAGGTGAGCACATGTTGATCTGCAACCTGCATAACCTGCACATATCAATGTTGATCTGCAACCTGCATATATCAATGTTGATCTGCAACCTGCATAACCTGCACATATCAATGTTGATCTGCAACCTGCACATATCAATGTTGATCTGCAACCTGCACATATCAATGTTGATCTGCAACCTGCACATATCAATGTTGATCTGCAACCTGCACATATCAATGTTGATCTGCAACCTGCACATATCAATGTTGATCTGCAACCTGCACATGTCAATGCTGATCTGCAACCTGCACGTATCAATGTTGATCTGCAACCTGCACATATCAATGTTGATCTGCAACCTGCACATATCAATGTTGATCTGCAACCTGCACATATCAATGTTGATCTGCAACCTGCACATATCAATGTTGATCTGCAACCTGCACATATCAATGTTGATCTGCAACCTGCACATATCAATGTTGATCTGCAACCTGCATAACCTGCACATATCAATGTTGATCTGCAACCTGCATAACCTGCACATATCAATGTTGATCTGCAACCTGCATAACCTGCACATATCAATGTTGATCTGCAACCTGCATAACCTGCACATATCAATGTTGATCTGCAACCTGCATAACCTGCACATATCAATGTTGATCTGCAACCTGCATAACCTGCACATATCAATGTTGATCTGCAACCTGCATAACCTGCACATATCAATGTTGATCTGCAACCTGCATAACCTGCACAGATCAGTGTTGATCTGCAACCTGCATAACCTGCACATATCAGTGTTGATCTGCAACCTGCATAACCTGCACATGTGTCTAATTTAATGTGTCGGTTCTGTGAACCATTCATCTACAATCCTGTCAGACACTGCAACTTCTTGGGGATCTTAATACTTGGGAATTCTTCACTTGCCTAACCCTTGGGCACGACCTACTTCCACATTGGACAAATGTGACACCACCTACGACTGCTGCACCTCTCCTGTTTATAAGCTGCTTCTCCACTCATATGCCGTATTCTATTTAAGATTGATGGACTGACCACATCGACTCAAGGTTGAGGGACTGATTACCTCATTCTCCTCCTGTTCTTCAAGTTTATCCTTTGTATGGACTGATGAAGCCACTGTGTGGCAAAACGTTTCCTCAATCAAGATACCCAAGAGTTGCACATGTGTCTAATTTAACGTGTCAGTTCTTTGAACCATTCATCTACATATCATTGTTGATCTGAAAACCTGCATAACCTGCACATATCAATGTTGATCTGCAACCTGCATAACCTGCACGTATCGGTGTTGATCTGCAACCTGCATAACCTGCACATATCAGTGTTGATCTGCAACCTGCATAACCTGCTTCCATTATATATACAGTAGTAAGTATACAGAATACTATATAGTACAGTATTAGATATTTGTATAGTATTTAATATACAGTATTTGAGATACAGTGTTAGATATACAGTATTAATCTTAATATGTTTGTGGAATGTTAGTGGTGGTGGTGTTTGTGGAATGTTAGTAGTGGTGTTTATGGTGGTGGAATGTTAGTAGTGGTGTTTATGTTGGTGGAATGTTTAATAAAGGTGGTGAAGTAGAGTTTGTAACGTACCAGGAGAGAAGTTGAGAGGCACCATGTTGATCCTGGTGCTGGGCAGGATGGCTCTCATCTGCTGTGCCTCTACTGGATGGTTGAACCGGAAGTAGTTACTCCTTCCCAGGGATATCATACAACCTGTAACATAATTATGTTAATAGTGGGTTGTAGCGTAACACATGTCATACAACCTGTTACATAACAATTATGTTACCGGTGGGTTGTAGCTAACACATTACTTATAAATCTTTCTTCTTTCTTACAACAAACCGGCTGTATCCCACCGAGGCGGGGTGGCCCAAAAAGAAAAAGAAAAAAGATTTTTCAAATTTAGTAATTTATACAGAAGAAGGGGTTACTAGCCCCTTGCTCCCAGTATTTTAGTCGCCTCTTACAACACACATGGCTTACGGAGGAAGAATTCTGTTCCACTTCCCCATGGAGAATTACTTATACATATTCTCATTATTATGTAAAAATACCAATGAAGATAGGAAACAAAGCCAGAGGACTTTCATGTGCTTACACATATATCTTCCTATTCCTCTGAGAATGTGTGTAAGCACATGAAAGCAGTCAGGTTTTACTATTTTCACTTTGGTATTTTTAAATATTACCTAAGATGCTCTGCATGCTAAGGGGCTTTGTGCATGCATGCCTAAATGTCATCCATTTTTGTATAAGCAATGTACCATGTTGAAATAAATAATTAATAAATCTTTAATAAATAATTATTAATGATTAAAATCTTTAATCTTCATAATTATATTATCTTCATATTATTATTAATTTAATGAAGGGATAGTGTGCAATGCCTGATGAATGGCAGGAAACCAGGATTTAATGAATGAAAAAATACATTTGTGTGATTCAAAAAACCTTCATCAGCATAGATAATCATCATCATAATAATAATAATAATAATAATAATAATAATAATAATAATAATAATAATTCATCTCTACAAGTACTACATGATACAACTTATACAGACCACAGCTGACATCAATGACATACTATATAGAAAGCCCCTTTGTTATGCAGAATATTTCAGGCAAATTAGGTTAATTTTGTCCCCCGGGATGTGACCCACACCAGTCTACTATCACCCAGGTACCTATTTGAACAAGAACAGCAGGTGTCTTAAGAAACACATCTAATGATTCCAGTGTGTGAGCCGAATGTGCTACCAACCCAGCTACGGGAAATTTTTTGTACCGTATGTGTGTGTTTGTGTTAACTGGATTTGAAGGGTATGAGAACATATGTACAGTGGTACCTCGGGATACAAACAGCTCAGAACGCGAAAAATTACGTAAGTGCATTTGTAAGTATATTTTTGGGGGTCTGAAATGGATTAATCTAATTTAATTAGTATTCCTTATGGGAACAAATTCGTTCGGTATCAGCACTCGAACAGCCTTCTGGAACAAAATAAGTTCGTATCCCGGGGTACCACTGTATTGTGAAAATTTCTGGGGACAATGTATGAGTTGTGTTTACATTATCTTGGAGATTTCCTATGTCAATGTATGCCTCTTGTACAAATTCTAATATCGGCTTGCAAAGTTCTCGCTTCACATGTGGAGGGCCCGGGTTCGATTCCCGGTGGGGTAAAAACATTTCGACTCTTTTCCTTAAACCTGTTGTCCTGTTCACCTAGCAGCAAGTAGGTACTTGGGTGTTAGTTGACTGGTGTGGGTCACATCCTGGGGGACAAGATTGAGGACCACAATGGAAATAAGACAGCCTTTCTTGGGTTATCCTGGGTGGCTAACCCTGCAGGGTTAAAAATCCAAATAAAATTTTATCTTATGCCTCTGTCTATACTGGATATGAGAATGAGAAATAGAACAAGGGCTAGTACTGTGCCTTGGGGGACAGAACTTTTCACTGAGAGGCTGAAGGAAATGAACCTGGAGACCTTAGAGAAGTACAAGGAGAGATATTACTACGTACAAGATCGTAAAAGAAATTGATAGGGCCAAACTGCCTGAATTAATGAAAATCTGAATAAACAGATAAACCCAAGAGATGTAATGAAGTATATCTTTAGTCTGAGGGAGGTTCAACAGAAGAATGTCTTGGATGAGGTAAACTCAGAGTACAGCTTCAAGAATGTGTATATATATATATATATATATATATATATATATATATTTTTTTTTTTTTTATTATCACACCGGCCGATTCCCACCAAGGCAGGGTGGCCCGAAAAAGAAAAACTTTCACCATCATTCACTCCATCACTGTCTTGCCAGAAGGGTGCTTTACACTACAGTTTTTAAACTGCAACATTAACACCCCTCCTTCAGAGTGCAGGCACTGTACTTCCCATCTCCAGGACTCAAGTCCGGCCTGCCGGTTTCCCTGAATCCCTTCATAAATGTTACTTTGCTCACACTCCAACAGCACGTCAAGTATTAAAAACCATTTGTCTCCATTCACTCCTATCAAACACGCTCACGCATGCCTGCTGGAAGTCCAAGCCCCTCGCACACAAAACCTCCTTTACCCCCTCCCTCCAACCCTTCCTAGGCCGACCCCTACCCCGCCTTCCTTCCACTACAGACTGATACACTCTTGAAGTCATTCTGTTTCGCTCCATTCTCTCTACATGTCCGAACCACCTCAACAACCCTTCCTCAGCCCTCTGGACAACAGTTTTGGTAATCCCGCACCTCCTCCTAACTTCCAAACTATGAATTCTCTGCATTATATTCACACCACACATTGCCCTCAGACATGACATCTCCACTGCCTCCAGCCTTCTCCTCGCTGCAACATTCATCACCCACGCTTCACACCCATATAAGAGCGTTGGTAAAACTATACTCTCATACATTCCCCTCTTTGCCTCCAAGGACAAAGTTCTTTGTCTCCACAGACTCCTAAGTGCACCACTCACTCTTTTTCCCTCATCAATTCTATGATTCACCTCATCTTTCATAGACCCATCCGCTGACACGTCCACTCCCAAATATCTGAATACGTTCACCTCCTCCATACTCTCTCCCTCCAATCTGATATTCAATCTTTCATCACCTAATCTTTTTGTTATCCTCATAACCTTACTCTTTCCTGTATTCACCTTTAATTTTCTTCTTTTGCACACCCTACCAAATTCATCCACCAATCTCTGCAACTTCTCTTCAGAATCTCCCAAGAGCACAGTGTCATCAGCAAAGAGCAGCTGTGACAACTCCCACTTTGTGTGTGATTCTTTATCTTTTAACTCCACGCCTCTTGCCATATATATATATATATATATATATATATATATATATATATATATATATATAATATTGTAATATAAATAATATAATATATAATATAAATAATATATATAATATGGCCTATGAGGCCATATTATATGTACTACTGACACCTAGTATACCTGGAGAGGGTTTAGGGGGGTCAATGCCCCCATGGCTCGGGATGTGACCAGGCCAGGTCACCATAGGAGTGACCTGAAGTGTTGTCAACCACTTCTTGTACTGAATGATCCATACTGGTTTACAGGATGAAGGATCAAGCCAGCTTCAATGTTGGGATTTTTACTGACACACACACAAGCTAATATGTGTGGTGCGTGACACTAGCAATAATAACCTGGTCAACCTGTGACTTCAAGCAAGTCTTCGTGATTACAACTTTAGAAGCAAGTCACAGCCATGTTAATCTTCAAAACTTACAAATGTCACATTTGTAACCTAGATTATTATTATTACTATAATAAAAAGAAGCGCTAAACCACAAGGGCTATACAGCAGATTATTGATTAGGAAACTAGAAGGGCGGATATATTTTTATACTGAAAAAGTCTCTTGGGGAAGCCTGGTAAGATATGTTTCCCAATTAACATATTAGGTTTTGCAAACTATTTTTTTGCTCCATAATAAAACATATGCATCTTAAACTTATGAGTCACAGATGTTAGGAAGTATTTCTTCAGTTATAGAGTTGTCTGGAAGTGGAACAGTCAGGAGAGTGATGTAGTGGAGGCAGGAGCCATACATAGCTTTAAGAAGAGGTACGATAAAGCTTTCGAAGCAGGGAGAAAGTGGATCTAGTAGTGATCAGCTTAAAGGTGGGGCCAGGAGCTGTGACTCAACCCCCACAACCACAAATAAGTGAATACCAACATAGGACACAAAAAAGGCACTTGTAATGCCACATCAATGCTAAAAGTGGCAGTTGATGGCAGTAACTAGATAAGACGTGTATAAAGTCTGGTATCATTATTATGATGTTTTGCCCACCAGTGACTGATAGTAGTAGATGTGGTAATCAGTCCCTCGACCTTGACAGGTGTTTAGTCTACGAGATGTGATAACCTCAAGTACAGCCAGTTGAATGTATTATATTGAACAAACCACAGCTTGGTAAAACATCTTCATGATGAAAATACTCAGGTGTTGTACATGTGTCTTATTCATCAATAAAGACACGCAGGTGTTGTACCTGTGTCTTATTCATCAATCAAGATACCCAGGTGTTGTACATGTCTCTTATTCATCAATAAAGACACACAGGTGTTGTACATGTCTCTTATTCATCAATAAAAACACCCAGGTGTTGTACATGTGTCTTATTCATCAATAAAGACATGCAGGTGTTGCAAAGGTGTCTTATTCATCAATAAAGACACGCAGGTGTTGTACAGGTGTCTTATTCATCAATAAAGACACGCAGGTGTTGCACAGGTGTCTTATTCATCAATAAAGATACCCAGGTGTTGTACATGTGTCTTATTCATCAATCAAGATACCCAGGTGTTGTACATGTGTCTTATTCATCAATCAAGATACCCAGGTGTTGTACATGTGTCTTATTCATCAATCAAGATACCCAGGTGTTGTACATGTCTATTATTCATCAATAAAGACACGCAGGTGTTGTACATGTGTCTTATTCATCAATAAAGACACGCAGGTGTTGTACATGTGTCTTATTCATCAATAAAGACATGCAGGTGTTGCACAGGTGTCTTATTCATCAATAAAGACACGCAGGTGTTGCACAGGTGTCTTATTCATCAATAAAGACACGTAGGTGTTGCACAGGTGTCTTATTCATCAATAAAGACACGCAGGTGTTGCACAGGTGTCTTATTCATCAATAAAGACACGCAGGTG